ATTTGTGTTGGTAACACAGCTTCAACTTTTAAAAATGTTCACTCCATATTTCACCACATCCTCAAAGAAAAAAGGCAGACAAAGTCCAGACGTGACGTGACTGTGCAGCCAAGGTTGTCCCTCTTCCTCTTCATAAGACAAACTGTAAAATGTGTAGAGGATGTTTTTCCCTTTTACCCCCAAAACTTTTTTGTAAACAAAAGTCCAAAGCAACACAGGTGAGCCGGGGGATGGAACAAAGTAAGCAGGCTTTTAAAATAATAATAAGTCAAATAAAATCAGGAACTCCAAAATGTCATCATTCAAGGTTTTTGTTCAGTTTGGTTAGTGGAGAAATTGAGTGCATTTAACGAGTGAACTATCAACTGACAAAATTAGTTTCTTCACTTAGTTTGTATGAGAAATTTGACCTGGATGATTAGACAATTAAGAGATAATTCCTTTCAACTTATTTTTATACTCACACTGCCCAGCCATAAAATGTGTCCACCTGGATTTAATAAGGTCTATGATGTGGGGCTGCTGCAGATGGTCAGGTCCAGGTTCAGCAACAGTCTGTGCTCAAAGAATGAGTCAGCTGACTACGTGAATATACTGAAGGACCAGGTTATTCCTTCAACAGATTGTTTCTTCCCTGATGGCACGGCCATATTCCAAGATGACAATGCCAGAATTCATGGGGCTCTTATTGTGAAAGAGTGGTTCAGGGAGCATGAGACATCATTTTCACACATGGATTGGCTCCAGAGTCCATTGAGAATCTTTGAGATGTGCTGGAGGTCAGACTCTACCATCATCAATGCAAGATGTTGGTGAAACATTAAAGCAACACTGGATGGAAATAAATCTCATCACATTGAAGAAGTGATGTTGAAACGATGACAGTGAATATGTGTCATAATCAAAGCTAAAGGCAGCAACAAATATTAGTGACTTTTTTTGACCAGTGTATAATCTAAACTGAACATGTTTCAGTTTAACTGAAAATTATATTTTTGAGTTTTAACATTTTGTCACAAACATGTTTGGAGTGAAGACAGCCAGAACCGATGACAGGTTCTGCAGAGATCACAGAAATCTGTCAGATTTTAACTGTTTCAAGTTTTTTTTAAATCCAGGATAAATCTCATGTATAAGTTTGAAGGACAAATTTTTTCACTTGACATAAGCCTGACTTTCTTCCAGGTCACACAAAGCAACACTGCAGACAAGTAAAAACCAGATCAGTACACGGGTATAACTTAGAATTTAAGTTTAATTAATTGTTTAGAATGTTGTTTTTAAAGTAAAAATGATAATTTAGTTAATATATGGTAGTGTTAGGCAATATAAATATATATGGCCAATTAAAAAGCAAATCATACTAATGGATTAAGACATTTTAAGAGAAAACACTTCGTCTATTTTAATTCAAAATGTTTTCTAGAGCTTTCCGTATTTTCAAAATGTTTATTTTCTTGTCATTGCTAAAATGAACAATTGAGATATTTTCATAGGTAGTAACAGAAATTGGTTTGAATTCAATTTTGGCACCGTTATGTTTCCAAAAAATTAATTCAGGCTTATTACAAACATTTGATTGTAGTGATGTGTCAGTCATTTGAAAATTATGGACAAATATCTTACCTGCTGCAGATATTTTTTTGATCAGTCTCAGTTTGGTCAAAGTTCATGTTGTCCAGGTCGATAACCACTAGTTTGAACAAAGTGCACCGCTTCTGTCTTTAAACTACTCTAATCTAAAACAATTTACTTCATAGCAAATATTTTATAAACCTTTACAACCCCACCATGTTTCATTCAGTGGTTATTTACATAGAATTGTGTTTGCAAGAGCAAATAGCAGTGCTTTCAGAGGGAACATCATGTTTCTGCCAAACTAACCATGTATTGTGGAACTGTCTCCATAAACTGTTTTAATATTTTAAGAGTTTGAGTCGATATAAGATGGCAGCAATCCACTTTGGTCCTAGCCCAGCTTGGACTAAAGTATTTCTCTAAAGAGTCACCAACATTAGATAACTTTTCATAACCCTTCTATAGACCTCTATTCATCTGAACTGATTCTTTAATCCATTTGGTACATGTAATTTCTAGAGTTTCACTGTAATTTTGTTTGACATCCACACAACAGTTTAATTATAAAAATGATAATAAAAATCCACTGACTAAAATACAGCAGAAAGCTAGAGAAAGAAGTGCTTCATATTTATACCCAAATTAAGAACAAATCGTTCAGGAGAGACGAAACGTTTCATTAAAGAAGAACCAGTCCAGAGGACCTACTTATTTTTCTTTTTGATTTTTCTACCTGGATTACTGAGATGCATTAGGACATTTTCCAGGTTATTTCCTCAATATCTTTGTTCAAGATCATGTTTCACTTGTGTTTTTTACATAAATGCAACCATTTATTTAAAAATAATGCATTCAGTTTGGTTGTATTATTGCAAATTAACTGTGTTATTGCAAATAACCTTCTGCAGTCATGATTTCATCAGAGCTGTGGTTAGAGGAACTGAGTCTTTTGTTTCTTGACTAGAGTAGTTGGTCAGAGTGCACAAGGTGCAACAGAGGAACTGTTGAAAACGTTGAGGATATTTGTAGCCTGAGCACAGCTGAGCTGATGTTAGAGCAGCCAAAACAAATTAACTCCACTGGAGGAAAATAAAACTTATTCACAGGATTCATGGATAGTCCTTCCCACTCATTCGTTCAGGTTTACACCACCTGTTAAAAAACAGTACAACCAGTTCTGCTTTTTTCTTACCGCTCTGTGATTTCTGTCTGAATAAGTGTTGGAAACAGGAACTACATTCAGTTCTCGGAAAAAAGGAGTAATCTCAGAATGTCTCATCCCTGCTCTAAACTTTTTTTTTTTGCCAGGGATTTCAAATTCTAAAATCTGAGGAGAGAAACTAAATTCTCCTCTACTCTACTTGTTCTGGCTCTACATGCACACCTTCTCATCAGCTCCTCTGCATTTAGTCTCATCTTACCCAGCATCCCAAACAGAAACAAACAAAACCTGACTAGAGCTGTTGCCACATGCTGCCGGAAATATGTATTAAAAAATGTTTTGTGCAGGTTTAGGTATTTTACCAGAATGTTTCATGTAAAGCAAAATATTAGCTTTATTAAAAAGACAATCTCTTATTGGAGGTTTATTGATTATTCTAAATAAGAGGAAAACAGTTTTTTGGGCCAAATATGAAAGCTGTTTCAACATCTGCTACTTTACTTTTTAGAACTGATGCAATTCAAACAGCAGTTTCTCTTATTTTTCCTACATTTGAACTGAAATGACTTCCGTTTCTCATATTTACTGTTAAATGAGTAAAAAACTGTTTTAGAAGTGGATCCCAGTCACAGGAGGGGTGAGGACTTTTATTAGCGGCCTTTGCAAAGTTCAGGACGACATCATGTGAGTTTATCTTCAGTAAAATAAATGTTAACTAAATGAAACGTTTGTTTCAAGACAGAGTTTAGGTATTTCCAAAACACAGAAAATAACCTCCAACCATGTTTAATTATTAAGAGTTTATGTGTAAACTTGGCATAACTTCCAGCATTGAAAGAACTGACAAGTATTTCATTACAGAGTGAAAACTCCTAAAGCTTGGTTTGGATAAAATCACATTCACATCGCAACCATGTGTGTTTCATCAGGGACAATAAACATTCATGTTTAATGGAACAAAACATAATTTAAAGTAAGTCTTCTCACACAAGACAGTACCACAAATGACTTGTTTTTTTCCCCAAAATATACAAAACAGGTAAAAAAAAAAACCTCTTTAATAGCGCTCATAAAGCAGCTGTTTAAAGTAATTACAATAAAGCAAAAGAATTACAATAAAAACTCAATTTAAAATAGGTGACTGAAGATCATTTGGTTGCACATCAATTATGGATTTTTACTTTGTAAATAGCAGCATTTAAAAAAATAAATTACTCAATTTCTTTAAAAGAAAATAAAATCACATGGGAGAATAAATGAAACTTGATGTCAGGTGAAGCTGAGCTGCAGATTTGGCTCCTTCTAAGCCAGTCATTTTTCACGTTTGTGTGTGTGGACAAAAACAGGAAGGTGGGATTGGCTGTGTCTGAATTCAGGGGCTACAACCCACTCCATCTTCACTTCATCAGTGTGTCCTCAGGGACCCTGAACAGGCTGAGTATTTAGTTTTGACACTAGTGAACCAATGTAAAATAAATGGCAAAAAGAAAATACACAAACGTACATTAAAAGTTGAGGCACGACGCTCCTCATGCCTTGTATTTCTCCTTCCCTGTTTCACTAATGACGCAGATATGCTGAAACAGAAGAATTATCCATGAGTACTGGAGCATCACATTTAATCTTTTCACAGTCTGACCCGTAACGAATGAGTCAGCCTACATGAATACTTACGTTCAGATCTCTAAAATACTCGTTGTAGTCTAGCGCATATCCCACCACAAATTTATCAGGAACCTCAAATCCTACAACTGAAACAAAAATAAGGAAAAAGAATAAATTTATTTTTGGGAAAGTCCCAAATATGAAACTGGGCAGCCTTACTCAAAATAAGGAACTCAGTGGAAAAATATGTGGAGTTCCTCAGGATTCTATACTTGGACCAAAATTGTTTATCTTATATGTAAATGACTTGGTCATTGTGTCAGGGCTCTTTAAATGTGTTTTGTTTGCTGATGATACTTTTTTTGTTTTGTTTAGAACTGATGTTAGAGAAAATGCAAGCAGAATTTGTGAAAATACAAGATTGGTTTAAACTATAATTATCATTAAACTTGGATAAAACTAATTATGATATTTACAAAGAGACAAAGAACTGTTAACATTCCATTTAGAGTTGATGGTGTAGAGATAAATTGAGTCAGTGAGTTAAAGTTTTTGGGTGTTATTATTGATGAGAAACTGACATGGAAACCTCATATAAATTATTTAAGAATAAAACTAGCTAAATCTATTGCATTGCTTTACAAAGTAAGGGACTTGTTTAATGATAAAGCTCTGTAAAGGTTATATACCGCATTAATTGTTCTACACTTGGTCTATTGTGTTGAGGTATGGGGGAAAGCATGTAAGAAAAGAGCTTTAAGAGTTATCACTCGAAAACATTACTATTATCCATCTAATATATTATTGTTTAAACTGAAATGATTGAAATTCTATGATCTGATTGATTATAACATTCTGTTAGTTATGTATAAAGCACACGGAAACATATTACCTTTGAACATCCAGAAAAACTTTGCAAAGAGAGAGAGCTGTTACAATCTTAAAGGGATCCCTGATTAGTTGTAACATTGGACTTTATTTGAAAAGCATTTATTTTAACTGTAAAATAAAGACTGTAATACTGTAGACTGATTAGTTTTTATAATTTTTAAAAATATATTTTAACACGGACGGAACCATTTTATTTACACGCAAAGCATTCTGGGTAAATGACGACGTGGATAGGTCCTCAGTGCGAGGCTGCTAGCGAGCTATATCCATCCTGAAGGTTAATCTTGGACAATATCTGATGATTGGCTCTTTTAAATGAAACCAGAGAGYGTTGACAGAGAGGAGAAGGTAGAAATGACTCAGCCTGGAACTGAAAATATGGATGGAGGACAACAGAGCTGCTTCATGGAAGAASAACCTCAGATTAGCCTATTAGCCTCTGCACTAGCGCCGACGTTGCCTTATATATCAGCTGATGTGAGGGCTGCAGAGCTGTCATCGCTGCGCATGGGCCTCCTCAACGCGCGCTCTATCAACAAGTCTTTTGCCTTGAATGAACTTGTTATGAAGGAGTCCCTGGACTTTTTGTTTTTAACTGAAACATGGCAGCAAAGATTGGAGTATATTCATCTGCGGGAACTCTGTCCAGGTAACTTTTCTGTCCTCGCAACACATCGGGAAGCGTGCAGAGGCGGTGGATTAGCGGCCATGTTTAAAGATCGTTACTCCTGCAGACTTGTTAATTCAGTCTCATTCTCTGCATTTGAGCTTCAAGTTATCAAAGTTGGCTCTTTGAAAACTTTTTACTGTATTTTAATTTACCGTCCTCCAGGTGCAGCCAGTGTGCTCTGTCTTCCATTATTAAGCTGGAGAATGTTTTAATATTGGGTGATTTTAATCTACATATTGATGATGTTTCCTGTAAGGCAGCTGCTGACTTGATCTCCATCACGGACTCATTTCATTTTACTCAGCATGTGTGTGTGCCTACTCATTAAAAAGGCCATACATTGGACCTTGTTTTCTCCTTAGGCCTTAATATAGAGGATGTTTGTGTGGAGGATATATTTTTAAGTGATCATAATTGTATACATTTTAATGCGTCTTTTAGTCCTGATCCAGCTCCTCCTAGACTTATGATCCAGAGGCGGATCATAAATGAGCACACTCCTGAAGTCTTTACTTCACTTTTTGATTCTGCCTCTTTAGATTATAACATCATTAATGTGGACTCATATGTTTCACGTTTTAATGCTCATTGTATAAATATTTTGGACACTATAGCAACTGTAAAACAGAGCACTGTGCAGCGCACAAACTGTCCTTGGATTAATAAGGAAATCCTTAGCTTGAGGAGAGTTTGCCGTAAGACTGAGCGTCAGTGGAAAAGAACCAAGCTGGAGGTTCACAGGCTCTATCTTAAAGAACTGATCAGCTCCTTAAATGAGATGCTCAAAACTGCCAGGACCAATTATTTTGCAAATCTCATCAAATCCAAAGGAAGAAATCCAAAAATTTTATTTGACACAATCAAGAACATTGTTTCACATACTTTTTCTACTGTAAGTGTTTTTACAAATGCAGATTTCAATCGTTTTTAAAATTATTTTATTGACAAAGTTGCCGGCATCAGGGCCTGTATCTCTCCCTCACCATCCCTCTGTCTGGTCCCTCCTCCTGTGACCTCTGATACATGGTCCTCDTTCACCCCAGTGACAATTCAGGACATCACAGAACTGTTGGGTCGAATGAAAATGTCCTCTAGCCCCCTTGATGTCCTGCCCTCTTCTCTTTTTAAATATATATATTTTTAACTGTATTGGCCCAAGTGTTGTAAAACTGATAAATTACTCCCTTGATTCTGATTCTGTACCCCACTGCTTCAAAACAGCTGTTGTCTGTCCTCTGTTAAAAAAGCCTGATTTAGACAATTCTCTGCCCGAAAGCTACAGACCAATCTCCAAACTACCATTTTTATCAAAAATCCTTGAGAAGGTGGTAGCTGAACAATTAATTTGCTTTTTGGAGGAAAATGACATTATGGGCATTTTTCAGTCTGGATTTTGCAAATTGCACTCTACAGAAACAGCTTTATTAAAAGTTTCAAGTGACATGTTGATGATGGCAGCTGACTCTGGAAACTACACTGTGGTGGTTTTATTGGACTTAACTTCAGCGTTTGACACTGTGGATCACTCTGTTCTTATCAACAGACTGAGAGATAATTTTGGTATTTCTGGCTCCGTTTTAAACTGGTTTGCCTTTTAGTTATCTGAACTGTCTTTTACTGTTTTTATGAATCAGGTTTACTCTGATGTTGCACCACTGCCTTGTGGGGTACCCCAAGGTTCAGTTTTAGGTCAAATCCTCTTTTTATTGTACCTGTACCCTTTAGGAGGTATTTTAAAACATTACAGTAATGTGTCCTACCATCTGTATGCTGATGACATACAGTTGTACTGTTCCTTTCGACCCTCTAAGTTCTTCAAACTATCTGAACTCAGTAACTGTCTGTCAGAAGTCAAAATATGGCTGAACAACAACTACCTGCAGTTAAATGCAAACAAGACTGAAACTTATTATCCCCCCTGGTGATAAAATCCCTGTAATCAGGCAGCACCTTGCTTTTTTAACTCCTTCAGTGAAAAATAGTGTCAGAAATCTGGGTGTGGTCTTTGATAGTTCTATGTCTTTTGACAGCCATTGTAAAAATTTTAGTTCGTAACTGTTTTTATCATTTAAGGAACATTTCAAAGCTGAGATGTTTTGTGTCACAGAAGGAACTAGAGATGGTTGTTCACGCTTTTGGTTCTTCTCGTTTAGATTACTGCAACAGTCTTTTTACATGTTTAAACAAATCCTCCTTGGCTCGGCTTCAGTCTGTGCAGAACGCTGCAGCGAGGTTATTAACAAAGACCCACAGGAGAGCCCACATTACACCTGGTTTAAGCCTCTCTGCACTGGCTCCCTGTGACTTGGAGGAGTCATTTTAAAATTTTAGTTTTAACCCCCAAATACATACTGGACCTTCTGAAGCCTCTCTGTCCATCCAGGACTTTGAGGTCTTCTAATCAAATGCTGGTGGTCCCTCGAAC